CCTCTTATTCATTTGGAAGTTAAAGAAGTTATAGAGATGATGGAGAATATGAAGGACAAAGTGGATGAGTGGAAAGACAAAGTGGATGAGTGGAAGGACACATGGCAAGACAAGAATAAAGATGGAAGAAATGGGTAGTTACTAAGTAGTTGCTGCTGTATTTTTTCCTCTATAAATAGCCATTAATGGCTACATTGTAAAGGGATCCAGAATTCATAATCAAAGATAATTGATTTCAATATTTCTTGTCATTTTCCTTATCTTAGGAGTAGTTTAACATAGATTTATATTTCGAAGCATTTATTTTCAGCATTTCCATTTCAAAGCATTTTATGCACTTCCTTTCGAAGCATAGGAGTAGATGTAAGTAATTATTACTTGATTGTTCACTCAATCGTCTTTCTCCGTCCCTCTTTCTTCTTTTTGGGACACTATAGTGTAGTGTAATTTTCCCTTCTATAATTCCACGAATATAATTTGTAACAACGATGGTACATTCCCTAATTTATCACTCGTGAATGACTCATAATGTTGTGGTATTGAGATTAAACCTCACATGATGAAATGTTTGACAAATTAAAATTTGACACTTATTAGATCCATCATTAGGGTGATAAATTAGATGTCTTAAGTATTTTTCAATTTATAAATAGTTTTTTGTTACGCTGTATTTGGTTTATAAATTTATGTAGGAATTTAAAAAAGAAAATAGAAAATAATCAAATCTTTGAATCAAACACTAGATTAAGATTTGTGCTTCTGGGTCGGGCTTTTTACTCAAGCTTTGAGCTTAAAAGCCCAGATTTTTAGGCTTTGAAAAAACACTTTCGTATGAAAAGCCCCGAAGAAGCTAACAGATCTGAGGTTGGAAAATCTTGGGCTTTTCAAGCATTTTGCCTCTCTCTCTCTTGCTCCTTGATTCATTCATCTTGCTCCTTGCATCAGTGGCCCACTACAGATTTTCATGGTATAAACTCAATGCTTGCTTCCACATTTTCTTAACCTCTCTCAATTGGTTCACATATCTTTGGTTGATTTGGGTATGCTGATGACTGCACAATCCTAGTAGGACTTTTATTCCTCCATGCAGAGTCCTCCTAGGATTCATACTCCTAAGGATAATGCTTATCCTTTTACACCCCCCCTGCTTAAACCAAGTGGGATGGTTTTTACTACGACCGAACTACCATTTGACCGTAGTAAACTGGCTAAGCTTAGCCGCGAGATAGTTCGGCCCTTCTTTTTACCTCTTATCTCGGTTCTCCCTTGCATGAACCATGATGTGTTGGGACCGGTCTACCGAATAGCAAGGTCTTGACCAACCTATCTAGAATACGACGCGACCGGACTAACCTTGAGACCGGCCTAACTCCAAGTTGCCTCCGGACCGGAGTAGCTTTACTCCTCCTTGGGCCGGAGTAACTATACCTCCCTGGGCCGGAGTAACTACACTTTTCCTGGGCCGGAGTAACATTTCGGCCTTTTCACCTAGTCCTTGGCAATTTGGGCCACAAAGCCCATCACATAGCTCGGCCCAGCTTTTACCAAAAATTACCCTCTCAGATTAGATGATTTATTTTGAGAAATATAAAGTTGAATTATTTTTTTTATCTTTGATTTTGGAATTTATTTTTGAGAAAAATAAATTGATGTTGAGGAATATTGTGTAAATTGTTAAGTTGGGATTATAGAGTTGTTTTAGGATTAAAAATGCTAAAAGTATTATATTCATGATATTTTATGAAAGGTGATATGTTGATGACGAAGTTGTGTTTATTTTTGTGAAAATAAAAAATGTGAAATGTGGACTTTTGATTTCACTACCTTGAAAATGTTACTCTTGAGCATATTTCATAATTTTTGATATAAAGATCATGTGATTAATTAATTTTAGAAAAGTTATGACAATTGTTATTGGTAGAGAATTTGGGAAAAATATTATCCCTTTAAGTAGCTTGGTACAAAAAAATGGTTATTTTGAAATATGGTTATATTTGAGGGATAAGGCATGTGAAGTTAGGTTTGGTATTATAAATTTGAAAATTTTTGAATATAATAAACTTACTAATTTAGTGGATTAAATTAGTTTTGATTAAAAGGTTATATCTGTTATGGTTAAAAGTGTGCTATTGAGATTATACTATAATTTTTGATATAGTAGGATGGAAATGGTAATATTTAATAAATATGGGATTTGGTAAAAATTATATTGATTATCTTGGTTGAGGTGAAACAAAAATTGATTGAAGGTTTTGTGTGAGTCAAAATAATTGGGAAATTAATAAATAGTTTTAATATTTGGTGTATGCTAATAGGTTTTAGATTTTTCTTGAAATGACTAAGTTAGAAGTTTGTTGATTTACATGTGGTGAATACATGAACATTGACATTATTATATTATCTCTTGGGATTATATCATGGTATTACATTGATAGAGATATGAAATTTGATCACAATGGAGCATTGTGTGGTGGAATTGAAATTGGAACTATTCTAATACATTGTTACATATTGCATTGCCAGTCCATTTCATTGTTATCATGGATTTCGAATTCAATTGAAAACTACTGTTTTGAGAAAGGAATTGTTTTTGGTGAAACAAGATCATTTTGAATTGTTTTGGATAAATACGTTGGTAAGTCCGGCTAGGGGGTGTAGTTTGATATTGGTTAAGTTGGCTTGAGTGTCCATGGTGAAATACTAGAAATCATGCGAATAGGTGTCGAGCCTTCCAGTTAATACTGGTAAAAATGACAGATTACAGGTGTCGAGCCTTCCAGTTAATACTGGTAAAAATGACAAATTGGTATTACTTGTATAGTCTACTTGCAGACACCAACCTAGGGATTACCAGAGACGTATTTACCGCCCTTGAAATAAATTGTTAAGTTTTGAACAATTGAAATTACATGACATCATTGAGCATGATGGTTTTTAAAAGATGAAAATGTGATTTATCTTGAAAAAGGGCATAGCATGACATATGCATTCATATCATAAAACTGTATAAAATGGATTTGATGAATTGTTTAATTATCTGATTCAATTGATAATGAGATAATTGAATGGATTAAAAAGGATGTCATGTAACTATTGAAGTATGTTTATTTATTTAAGTTAACAGGTTGTGGTTAATTAAATAAATTGGATTTAAGAGATTATGTGATAAAACCTTATGATTTTGACATGATGTGATTTCACGAATATGTATGAGTATCTTTGTACTCGCATATCTTTTAATGTTTTAATATGAGATTGCCCAGTAAGTTTTGCTCACCTCCTGCTTGTACATGTGTACAAGAAATGCTTTTCGGATTTAAAGATCAAACAATGGGTTTTACCATTTCATAAGTGTAATGTAGTGATGGATTGTACTACTTCGTTTGTTGTTTGGCTGAGTGCTATCTTTTTTGTAAAGAGTAGTGTCCTCTCTTTTATTGTGAGCCTCAGGGCATTTCTTTTATTTGTATGTAAATGTCATTGTTGTATAACGAGAGGGAATATGTATATTTAATTATTCACCATTTCATCCAAGGATGAAATGTTATTTGTAAATGGACTTAATTAATGAATATTAGTAAGATTATCTGAGTAATAAAATTTGGGGTGTGTTTTTTCTTGCTTTAGGAAGAAAAAAAAATTCAATATTGCAATTTATGTGTATCTCTTCTACGTAGCAATTTTGGATCCATCACTAGTAGGCCTAACTTGGCCCGTTGATGTCCCCTACTTTGGGGGTGTATCAAGCCTTATTGAAAATTTAATTGTTTTAGAAATGTTAGAAATATATAATTTTAAATTCATAAATTAATTTATAATGATGTGTTAATAAAATTAAGTTTATATAAGCGAGTGTATGATAAATTAAAAATTGATACTTATCATATTATATCATTGTGAGTTCAATTAATAATTTTTTTTAAAGTTTCTCATATATATATATATATATTTATTTTCTGACTAGGATTGACCTAGATTTTGATCATTTGAAAGAGGGAGTGGGGGTGTGAGGGGGAAGAAGTCATTAGGGCAAATTGTAATCACTCTGTTTGGTTTCAATATTTAAAATTCATTTTTCAGAAAATTCTACTTTTTCATTTTTTTTTGTTTTCAGTGATTTTTTAAAATATTTAAAGTAATTTTTTAAAAATTTTTAGACGCATTTAACATAAACACACTTAAAAAATATAATATTTGTGATTTTTTTTTAAAAAAAATTCACTAAATACTAAAAATACAAAAATTCAATACATTTTTTGTATTTTTGTATATTTAATAACATCTAATTTTTTTTTTCATAAATATTTTACTATTTAAGTAAGATGCATCTAAAAAAGTAAAAAAATTGCTTAAAATTTTAAAAATATTCACTCAAAACAAAAATATACGAAAAATAACAAACTCAATTTCTAGAAATTGAATTCAGAAAATTGAAAATGAGCACACTGAATAGAATTTTTCTATCAATTGAAAATGGATAAAATATTGTTTAAAATTTAGTTTAACATTCAGTATAACGAGAATATAAATTGGTGGCATCCCTAACTAATAAGAGTTCTTACATTGCGGTAGTAAAAATAATAGTTGAGTTAGTAAGATTTTTTCCTTCTTATATTTCTATTTTTTAAAGGAAAAAATAAAATAAAAAAGCCTTCCACCACTACAAGAAAACAGCCCAAATAACACGGAATTTTTTGCGACGGTATAGGTACCGTCGCAAAAAATGGTCTTTTGCGACGGCATTTTCAAACCGTCTCAAAAAATAGTCTTTTGCGACGGCATTTTCAACCGTCTCAAAAAATAGTCTTTTGCAACGGTGGTGACCCCATCGTTAATGCATATATCACAAAAAAAACATAAAACATTTGCGACGCCTGATGTACTATCGCAATTTTTTTTTTTGAGACGGGAACATTTACTGTCTCAAAAGCCTTGTTAAAACAGCGTTGTTTTATTTGATAGGATTCATCATTTGTGATGGCTTAAGTACGCCGTCGCAAAAAGTAATGAAAATTTTCAATCCCGCTCATTTTAGCCTATTCGCGGTCATGTGTTTCCCCAAAATCCCCAAACCTTTCTGAACCAACCCAAAATCCCTAAAATCTCTAAAACCAAAATCCCCAAAAGCATTTGATCAAAAAAAAAAAAAAATTCCCCAAAGCCCTTGAGCCAAAATTCAACGATGGTGACGGACGACAACGGTGATCGACGATGGCTAGCAGCGAGGGAGCAGCGAAGCAGAGTCACGAAGCAGAGTTAGATGACCTAGGGTAAATCACGAACCAACCAGAGGCCTAGGATCAGAAGCGACAAAGATCATATTATATACATATATAATATGTATGTATAGTGATATAGAGGGAGAGAAAGTGAAGAAACACGTAAACTAATATGGTCCGTGTATGCAACTGAAGAACACGATTCTTCTTCTTCTTCTTCTTCTTCTTCACTCTCCTCATTCCATTCACCATCGTTTTTCTTCAATTCGCAAATCGCTTCTGTTCCGATCGAGTCTCTCTTCGTCTCTGCAAATGAAGAAGGAAGCTTCATCGTTTTTATTGACCTCGGAAGGGCTCGAAGACGTTGATGAGTTCGTCGGGGTGAGCCTTTCTTTCGCTTGTTTGGTTAGTGAGAAAATGTATATGATGAAATGAAATCAAATTCTTTGAATTTTTGTTTTTTTGAGTATTCGGCAGAGTTTCGTAGAAAAGCTGTGTTTTCATATTGTCAGACGAAGTGAGGGTTTCTGTATTTTTTTTCGTGGAGGAATTTGTGAATCTCTGTGTGATTTTTTTTGCTTGAGAGTGTGTAGATTGAAATGCAGGCGAGCGAAGTCGGTTCATCCGTGACGTTTGAACGGTTTTGTCATGTGAATAGATCTCATGCAGATTGGGAAGCTAGCTTTCTGAGAAAATCGCTTCGAAGAGGTGAAATTCTTACTCCTTTGGTTCCTTTTCCCTCATATTCCTGGCAGTTTTAGTTGTTATTTTTATTTTTGTTTTTTTGTCGTTTTTTGTACTTGAAAATTGAGTGGACAAGAGGAACCAGCTAGAAATTTACGAGTTTAATTTGGTTGTTTTAACAAGTTGTTGAATGTACTCTGTTTTCTTCCTCTTTTTTCTTTTTTTGGTTTTTTCTTTTTTTTTTTCTCAAAGAATCCTAATTAAGTTAAATTGGGAAGTATAATGGTCATTGTGAATTGACCGGGAAACTAGTGATAAGCATATACATAACAATTCAATTCTATATACATAATGTTGCCAGCTCAAATGGTGTAGAAAAAAGTTTAATTTGATGCATTGCTTCAATTTTTGGTTACAAACCTATCAAATGCATCCAAATAGCTAGGATTCATGGGATGTGTCAAATTAAGCCTCCTTATGCCATTTGATGCCCTAGTTTCCAACCGCAAATAATGTACATCAACATTGCCCTTTTTGCTACTTGCCCTTATGCAACTCAACGCCTTGTGATGGTCAACATATTGTCCACCTATACCTATCAAAAGTAAAATTTTCAAAACAAAAAGAAATGATGGTAGTTAGCACACTCGTTGTCTGATTCAACTATCTTTGTAATGTATTTGTGATTCTAATTATTTGTCTTTTTATTTTCTATAATGAAAAAGCAACCAAACTCTGCTCATGAAGATTGTGATTTTTCTACTTGGATTAGACACAGTTAGCGTAAGTGAAATAGAGGCTCTTTATGAACTATTTAAGAAGATTAGCAGTGCAGTAATTGATGACGGTTTAATCAACAAGGTTCGTCTATATCTTTGTGGAAAATTATTGTTGCATTTTTTAACATGTTAAGATGATATGCTATTGTAGTACTGCTCTTAATAACCATGAATTTGATGCTATTCTTTATATTTTCTAGTGTCAATGTGTTGTTACCTCTCCACAATCTAACTCTTGTTTCTTGAATGCTTTCTTCTATATAATATTGCAGGAAGAGTTTCAATTGGCGTTATTTAAGACGAACAAAAAAGAGAGCCTGTTTGCTGATCGGGTATTTTATTTTTGACTACTATTATTCTTGTTGCTCTTGTTAATGCTCACCTTAACTAGACATTCTCTTAAACTAGTTTGCATGTGTTCTTTTTCTTGCACTGCATTTTTTAAAGCACCATGAATTATGAACTTTTCCATACATAGACTTTGTTAGTGATAAAAAAAAAAAACATGCATATTATATATGTAGGTATAAGCACAGTCATATATAGATGCATGTTTATTTGTGTGTTTGTGCCTGTTTTAAAAGCTGCAAACTAGGAATATAGAAATATTTGTGTATTTCTGTGTTGAAAGTGAATTATGTTGGAATCACTCATGATTATGTTGATATACAGTTTATAGATGCTTCAGAACAAATATGCTAAATCTTCTAAAGCTATTCTCATCCTAATTTTTTAATAATTTTAGGTATTTGACTTGTTTGACACAAAACATAATGGCATCCTAGGCTTTGAAGAATTTGCCCGCGCACTCTCTGTATTTCATCCGAATGCCCCTATCGATGATAAGATTGAGTGTATGCTAGAATGCTCTACAATATTGCTATGATGATGGGAATTTTTTGTTGTAGTTCATTTAGTCTGAAATTTCTACTTTGCATTTTCGTTACACCAATAATTTTGTGTTGCAGTTTCGTTTCAACTGTACGATCTCAAGCAGGAAGGTTTTATTGAGAGGCAAGAGGTAACTACTTGCATTATCATGAACTGTTTTGAGACCTAAATTAATTAAATTTGGACTTTTCATAGGCTATGATGGCATCCATTATTTTCACTTTTCTGTTTTTCACGGGTCTTAATTAATACTCTATGATCACTGAAATCTACTCTATTGTTTTCTTATTTGGTCTAGTGAATTATATGAATTGCTAATAGATACCAATATCTTATCCCATGAAAAATCCATAAACCGTGACTTGACTTGAGAGGCATTGCTGAAAAAAGTTTGCTTTGCTGTTTAAGTTTCAGTAACTTTTCCATGTGCTAAGACACAATGTGTTTTTTTTTCCATGGAGCACAATTCACATAGGGACAATACGTACACAGAAAAATATCAACTAGGGTAAGAAACTATAAAGCCAAAATATGAACTACCATTGTTGGGTGGGAATATATTCTCAAACGTTCTTCTAAGCTGTATTTCTTTATTATTGGGTTGGAACCTTAAAAATAATGTAGGAACTGTAGGTTGAATGGATAAAATGATCGTTGTATTTTTACTAGTTGTTTTGTTGAAAGTTTACTTTGCAACAAAGATTGAATGAAATAGAAAAGGTGTACAAGAGGAAAATAATTCAGAGAAGGCATCAGACCATTATAGACCTAGTGGGTGTCGACTTTTTATGTTGGCCAATAATTTGAGTGACATAGAATAAACATACGTCACTCTCATGTGAGTGATTTTGCACTAGAGCAATTCTTGTTTGAGCTAAGCCAATAGAAAGGAATTATAGTTCCCCAATATACTTCGATGTTGGGCATACTATGGTTGAATACTAGATGTTAAGGCATTTGGTTTAATGGTTTTCCTCTTTGTTCCCTTTTCGTAGATTTAGCCTTCAATAAGAAAGATGTGACACATTATAGTTCATGTTATTTGTCTTTAATATCTGTCATATTTTTTTAGTGTTTTAGATATTTAATCGACTTTCAAAATGTAGGTGAAGCAAATGGTAGTGGCAACTCTTGCAGAATCTGGTATGAACCTTTCAGATGATGTTATAGAGAGCATCATTGACAAGGTGCTCCCTCAACCCGAGTTAATTAAAGTAGCATCTATTTATCATATATATGAATTTAATTAGCTCTAGGCATCCATATCTAATGTAATAGTATGTGCCTTGTTTTCTTCATCCTCATCCTTTTCATTTTTAATTTAATTTAATTTTTTCTATCTTGGTTCTTTTCTCTTACTAGTCATACGGATTCAAATTTATTTTGTTACGCTCTTTGTGCACTTTGTTTCTAAAAGCAAGCAGTTAAACTAGGGTGTAATGTTCTATAAGGAGATAATTTACTCTAAAAGTGCTTTATTCATCTTCTGTCATTCTTTCTTTTTTGTTGTTTTGTTTGTTTGTTTGGTTCCCTCCCCTCCACATAAAGACAACTAGTAGTTAATAGAAATATTTTTTGCTGTATTTCTCTTGTTAAACCTACTTTTTGAGGATTAAATTGCCAATTGAAGCTCCCATGGTTTTACAATCATCACCTTACATAACCAGATGTGGCATTTTTCAAGCAACCTACCAATGGCAATATGAATAGTCAAATATGAGTCATGCATAAAATAACGGGTGCTAGTTTCTGATATTTAATTTCTGGAAAATTGCATTTTAGTGGGAACAACTCAAAATTGGGGTAACCACTGGTTCAGTCCGGTGGTTTTTACCTTGGCCTACTAACCTTGAGGTTATGGGTTCAAGTCTGAGGACAACAATTTTGTGCATTTATGCCAAATGTTAGACCTAAATTATTTAATTATTGAGAATATATTAACATTTATATCGATTTTTATTTTTGTTTCCAAACATTTTACAAATGTTTTTCCATGTATATTTTGAAATGAAACAGAGTCCAAACATAATTATTATATTTTTTATAAATAAATAAAAAACACTAGTATGAAACATAATGTTCAAGTTTCAAACACCAAAAACGAAACTTTGGCTCTTCATAAATTTGTTGTGTTGTTGACTGTTAAGAATTCAGGAACAGGCATATGAATGCTTTTGAAATTAATATGTTGTTGTCATGTGAATAGCAATACTGGACAAAATGTACAAATTACAGTGCAATGGATCAGTTGTCATAAGGTGAGAAAACAAATCAAATAGGGTGAACTTTCAGGATCTATATCAATGTAAGAGATTTAGCCTAATAATCCACCAGATAAGAAAACCCAAACCTGAAGAAGATAGACAGAGGTGGGAAGCAATCTATTCATGATCTCATTTTTGCCAACCATATCTCACTTTGTTAAAAGAAATTGTTATAAATTGTGACATGTAAGGACATAATGTTCTTTCCTCAAAACAATCAGTTTTAATGCCATCAGAGTCGTGAGTCAAAAATAAACAAATAAATATTCCTAGAACCTTTGGCTGCAACAAAAGTATGAATCCTTATTCTGCCAATTTTTTATGTTTTTCTGTAATTAAAATATTAACACAATTATATTGTCATTAATTATTTTTATTTTGTTATTTTCAGATATTTCCGGAGTAGCAGTTTGCTTCTTGTGGAATGCAGGCGTGTAAAGATTAAAATATTAACCCACGGAAGAATCATGATGAAAACTTTTGTTTTTAATTTACGTTATTTAGATTTTTAACATTATGCATGTATTATGCAAAATTATGTATTGAGATAATTTTACTGATGTATTGTTATGAATGGAAGAATATTTTAATTATGGATGGATTTTTATTTATATATTGGATTTTTTATATTATTACGTAATTATTGATTTTTTTAAAGTTATTTTTCATTTAATACAGGTCATTTTCATATTTTTAATAATTTTGTTACAGTTTTTTTTTTTTTTGAGACGGCAGCACACACACCGTCTCAAAAAGAAAAATAGAACTATGGTTTTTTGCGACGGCAGTAATGCTGTCGTAAAAGATAGGGCATTTGGTTGAAAAGGAAGATTTTTAGCGACGGTGTTATTTGCCGTCGCCAATAGTACTTTTAGCGACGGTATTTGTGCCGTCGCAAATAAACCTTTTAGCAACAGCAACACAGTGCCGTCTAAAAAAAACTCAGATTTTCACGCGTTAATAGCAACAACATTTTTCCATCGCAAAAAGGCATTTTTGATGTCGCCTTTTTTTTGGACGGCGTTATACCGTCGCTAAAACCCTTTTGCAACCCCTTTGTTGCGACCCCCCACTTGCCGTCACAAAAGGCCAGTTACCGTTGCAAAAAACCTTTTGAGACGGCGTTTTGGGTATTTGCGACGGCATTTTACCGTTGCAAAAAAGCAATTTTCTTGTAGTGCACTCTCTATAAAAGTGAATGTTGGAATTAAAAATATATTTTAAAACATAATATATGTTAGGAAATTGTTATGATGTACACTCTTAAAAAGGCGTACACAATGTTCCATAACAAATATCCTAACTGCATAATTTTTTTACGAAAGTAATTCATAACATTTATATTTGTGGGAAAGTATTTTATGAGTGATAGCACGTGGCTAAGGTAGTGTCAAAGTGTCAGCCGAGGTGCCACGTGGCCTGGTTATACTTGCGGAGATAATCTCGGCCAGACCAAGGTTATCTGCAGAGATGTCGGAATCCGAGATAAGCGGATAAGGGACAAGAATCCTAGACGAAAGAGGATTTTAGTTTGGATAATGATAAAGCTTTTAGGGAGTTTATCCCTATCTAGCTGGGAGTTTGAGATAAGCATTACGCGCTTGAGTCCTATGAAGTGAGACTTCTAGGAGATTTGGGCACTAATGACTATAAAAAAGAGGTACCCTCGTGGGTCTCAGGTATATGTGATATACTTTGAACAATGATTTGTGAGTTTTACTCTAATTTGATATTTGTGAGAGATTACTGGTTTGATCGTCAGAGTACCCCCCAGGTGGCAAACCATCGTAGAATTCCCATATTCTTGTTATAGGTTGTTGAGTTTAATCTATTCTGTCGGTGCTCTCTAGCTGAGTTCCCCGTTTGGCTATGTGGTCAAAAATCAACATCGACAATTTGGCATCGTCTGTGGGAACTTAAGGAGAATAGATGGCCAGTAATGGGCAAGAAGAGAAGATAAGGGATGACATCCACAGTGAGAGTGAGGAACATGTGGATCCTAACGTCAGGGAGGAAAACAGTAATGATAGAGTCCAAGAACCGAATCTCAGGGAAAAATAAGCTGGCAAAGAGCGTAACACCCTGAAGAAGGGAAGCCGAGATGAATACTACAATGAAAGTGACCTCTAGGTATGGAAGGATAGATGACTGATGAGGAATGGGGAGATGAAAGGGATGGCAAACAAGTTGGCAGGCCTACAGTTGGTGGTCAACTTTATGATGCAGAACAGCATGATGCAATCACCATTCATGTTGCAAGACACGCTGGCACCAACAACTAAAACTGATGCCCAGAAAGAAGGGCAAAAAACAGTCCTAGTAGTCCTTTAGCATGGCAAGGGACATAAACACTCACATTGGCCGTCAAGGGATGTCGGGCAAACAAAGTCTGCACGAGGTGAGTCGTAGAAGACATCACGAACTAAGAGGACCCATGTCAAAGAAACTCAGTATATCCAAGGGAAGGGCCTCTATTTTGATGCAGTGGACAAGGGGAAGTCCAAGTGGATGCACAATTACACCGGGAGCCGCACGCCAAAGAAGTTGAAATCTATTGATAGCCGAGTTCCCGGTAGGACGAAAAAGGATTTGAGGAACTACCTCCAGAGGAAGCGACTCAACGTTGAGATCACATCCATCGTTAAGCCGAGGACACCATTCTTGGCGGAGTTGGATACGTTTGAGGCCCCAAAGTGATTCCACATGCCGAGATTCCAGATTTACGACGGTATGTCTGATCCAAACTTGTATGTCGACTTGTATTTAAATTCAATGGCTTTGTGGAGCGGGAATGAGTAGCTGCTGTGGAAGGTATTCCTTTCATAATTTGGGAAAATAACATCTTATTGGTTTCATAAGTTGTCGAAAGGAACTGTGAAGAGTTGGGAAGGCCTGGCTGAGATGTTTGTGGCTAGGTTTGTCACGAACAAATCGCAGCCACTGAGGGTAGATTCCTTATTGGCTTTGAAGATCAACGATGGCGAAAGCCTCAGGGCTTATGCCAAGAGATATTACGAGGTGTACAACCAGATTCCAGGTTATAACCAGGAGTTGTCAGTTGCGTCTTTCAAGAATGACCTGAATGATAAATGCTCACTTCAGAAATCACTCACCAAAACCCTTTCGAAAATCATGAAAAAGCTCATGACACAGATTGAAAAATATGCCTAAGCAGAAGAAGACACATAGGGGGTGAGGACATCGAAGCAAGAAAGGAGAAATGGCTCGCCAAAGCGAGGCTGAGAGAATAGAGGTATTGACAGGTAGGAAACAGGGGTAAGGGCTGCACAGGCAGTCACTACTGTATTCAGGATCTCGATTTATAAAGTTCTGGAAAGGATCAGGAACCGGCCATATTACAGAGCGCCGAAGAAGATCCCTGGCGAGTTTATGGGAAAGAGCATTGGGAAGCATTGTGCTTACCATAATGAGGATGGGCACTTAACTCAAGGGTGCAGGACTCTGAAGTCGCACTTGGAGGATCTGGTCAGACAGGGTCACCTAAAAGACCTAGTAGATGAGGACAAGACAAGGGAAGAGCTTGTATGGCAAACCTTGGGTGATCAATGTGATTCACTCAAAGGTCAATGAGAATGAAGTATGAGGGGAGACCCAAAGAGTAAGGCACCTGCAACATGTGTATCAGATCCAGCAAAAAAAGCCCAAGACAAATGAATACCAGGGACCAATAGTTTCTTTTACTGAGGCAGACCTGGATATGGTGCAACATCCACACAATGATGCCCTGGTGGTAACTCTGAAGATTGGAGAATGCTAGGTAAGGCGCATGCTGATCGACTAAGGCAGCTCTTGTGTCATCATGTATGTCAGATGTTACAAGGAGCATGGCCTTTACCTAGATGATCTAAAGCAGTCTGATAATCCCATGGTTGGATTCAATGAGACGCTGACATGGCCTCTGGGAGCCACGAACATGGAAATACAGGCAGGAAGCAAAAAAGTAACAACTGAGTTCACTGTGATAGATACTCCCTCCCTATACAATATCATTTTGGGACAACCTTGTTTGCATGAGGGCTGTTCCCTCCTTGCCACACTAACTGTTGCAATTCCCAATGGATCAGGGGACTGAAGAAGTGAGGGAGGACCAAGTACAGACGAAGAATTGCTCCATGGCAGCAATATAGTACACCTGTAATGTAAGGGAGGCAGAAAGTGCAAACCTTGAAAGCGAAAACCATGAGGTCTTGGATGATGTCGGCAAAGAACCTGCCGAGAAGAGTGAAGAACCACTGAAGAAGGTTCTGGTGTAAGAAAGAGATGATGAACACTTCTTTCTTCTCGGCTCTAGCTTAGTCGAGGAAGAAGAAAGGGAGTTGGAGGCTTTTTAAGGAAGAACATTGAGGTGTTTTCTTGGACACCTTATGAAATGCCGGGGATCAGTCCCGAGGTCACCTGTCACAGCTTTAACGTGGACGGGTCGGCCAAATCAACCATTTAGAGAGCAAGAAGGCCGACATTGATACATGTGCAAGCAGTTGAAGAAGAGGTAGACAAGCTACTAGAGGAACAGGCCATCAGACAGGTAAATTATCCCACCTGGTTATCTAATATAGTAGTAGTGAAGAAGAAGAATGGAAAGTGGAGGGTCTGCATAGACTTCACGAGCTTGAATAAGACTTGTCCTATGGACAGTTTCTCACTACCCAAAATTGACCAACTAGTAGATGCCACTTCAGGGCATGGGAGGATGAGTTTTCTGGACTCATACAGAGGCTACCACCAGATAGCAATGTATGCCCTAGATGATAAGAAGATGGCATTTATCACTCCAAAAGGACTCTATTGTTATAGAATATGCTTTTTGAGTTGAAGAATGCAGGAGTGACTTACCAGAAACTAGTCACCAAGATGTTCAAACAGCTGATTGGGAAGACAGTAGAGGTTTACATAGATGATATGGTTGTGAAAACCAAGGAACCTGAGAACCATCTGGCCAACTTGAAGGCAGTCTTTGACATCCTGAGATCATATCGGCTTTGACTCAATGCCTTAAAATGTGCATTTGGAGTTGGATCTGATAAGTTCTTAGGATACTTGGTCACAAGGAGGGGCATTGAAGAAAACCCAGATCAAATCAAGGCCATCCTTGACTTGAAGAGCCCGACAACAGCCAAACAAGTATAGATGTTGACTGGGAGAACAGTGGCCTTGAAGAGGTTCATTAGCCGAAGTTCAGACAAGTGCAAACCATTTTTTAGTTTGCTGAAGAAGGCCACCGATTTTCTGTGGACAGAAGAATGCGAAGTCGCTTTGACCGACTTGAAAAGATACTTGACAATCCCACCGGTGCTGTCGAAGCCGATACCAGGAGAAGAACTGTTTCTATACCTGGTAGTTTCAGACCACACAGTGAGTGCG